AAAAAAAAAAAAAAAAAAAAAAAAAAAAAAAAAGATGAAGAGGATGAAGATGAAGAAGGTTACGGCCTTTGTCCTGAAGGGGTGACATTCTTGTGGAAGGAAACTCAGAGATGGCCCCCCATGGATGTCGGTACCCCTCCAGCAGGGGATGTAGGGCAGTTAGAAGGAACAGCTAAGTCTGGTGTCAGGGGAAGGTGTCTCAGAGAGGGTGAAGGCAGAGTTGGAAGCAAGAAGCCAAGATTGGGGAGGGGAGTGGGAGGATGTGAGTGCGTCACCCATGCATGTGTGTGTGGGTGTGGGTGCCGGGGGGCGGGGTTCAGACAGAGGGAGCAGCATGCACAGAGACTTTATCTTATTTTCATGTCTGTATTTATTTATTTCTAGAGACAGGGCCTCACTCTGTTGCCCAGGCTAGAGCGCAGTGGCATGATTATAGCTCACTGCAGCTTTGAGCTACTGGGCTCAAGCGCTCCTCCCATCTCACCCTCCCGAGTGGCTAGGACTGCAGGTATACACCACCATGCCTGGCTAATTTTTATTTTGTAGATACACGGATCTCACTGTGTTGCCCAGGCTGGTCTTAAACTCTTGGGCTCAAGTGATCCTCCTGCTTTGGCCTCCCAAAGTGCTGGGATTATAGGAGTGCATCGCCATGCCTGGCCTGCAAAACCTTTAAGTCATGAGCTGCACAATGAACTTAGATGCCAGCGTATGGCTGGGGATATGCATGGTGAGGGGAGGAAGCAAGTGGAAGAGGAACCAGAGGAAGAAGAAGCCAGGGCACATCAGGAACAACTTGGTGTGTCTTACTGAGGAATTCGAACTCTGTACCAAAAGTTAAGAAATACCAAGGAAGGAAGTTAGGCAGAGGATGGGCATGACTGGATTGGTGTTTAGAAAGTGAACTTGGCCTGGCGTGGCGGCTCATGCTTATAACCCCAGCACTTTGGGAGGCCAGGGCAGGTGGATCACCTGAGGTCAGGAGTTTGAGAACAGCCTGGCTAACATGGCGAAACACCATCTCTACTAAAAATACAAAAATTAGCTGGACGCAGGGGCGGGTGCCTGTAATCCCAGCTACTTGGGAGGCTGAGGCAGGAGAATCGTTTGAATCTGGGAGGTGGAGGCTGCAGTGAGCCGAGATTGCACCACTGCACTCCAGCACGAAACTCCATCTAAAAAAAAAGGAACTGCAACTGTGATGTCCAGCGTGGAAACCAGGACGTGGAGTGGGAGTGCGTGGAACGTCCCTGCAGGCGGAATTGCAAGGATCCGGGTGAGAAGTGAGCATGATCTCAATGAACCAGGGTTGGGAGCTGGAGAGAAGGGCCGAGGGTGAGGGTGGTCCATGAGGCCACTGATTCCTAGTGCTTGGTGGCTTACTGGATGTAAGGAGTAAATGAGGAGTCAGGACTGAGGCCAGGGGTCACGCTTGGACAGCTGGGTGGATGCATTGTCATTCTCTGAGACAGCAAACAGGAGGAGGAGGAAGAACGGGGAAGAAGAGGAGGGGGCTGAAGAAGGAAAGAGAAGGAAGAGGGATGGCTCAGTGGAGAAGATGCTGAGTTCAAATTGTGTTGCTGTTATTGAACTTGTACTTTGTAAAGCATCAGGTAAAATGATAAGAGAGGCCAAGTGCCTGAGCTTACAGGATGAGTTCAACATTGGACGCGTTGTATTTGAGCTGCTTGAGGGGCACTGGGTGGAGAAGGCATCCCCTGACTTTCCCTCATTCTCATCCTGATGTTGATTCTTGAGCAAGGCCCATCAGTTCTGTCTGCAGGCCATGGTTCCTCTCTATTCCCTCCTCCCCCTTTCCTCTGTCACCAACACAGAGGGAGATGGGATGGTTGATGGGTTCAGGCTGACAAGCAGGTGGGGAAGGGGCTGTCCCTTGGGAACGGAGGAGGACTGGCAGGGGAGGGAACAACAGTGTGATGGGTGGTTTTGTGGATAACTTGGTAGGGGTTGAGATGGGGAGATGGGAAGGGTCTCACCTGCTGGCCCTTGTTTTCTCTGATAGGGATAAGGCCAGGGTGTTTGCTAGGAGGGAGGGAAGGTGGTACAGCGCGTTGGAGAAATGAAGGTAATGTCGGGGGGAGGTAATTTGATTAGGGCCCCTAATAGATTTCCCAGGCAGGATGTGGGGCCCTTGGAGCCTGGGGACTTTGGGGTGATGTCAGCTCACCCGATAGTGGCACTTTTTCCTGCGGGGCTTAGCAGCACTGCGCAGGAGGGACAGTGCTGCCGGACAGGGCTGCGAAGCTGTAGGGCAGGGGGGCCTCAGCCAAGCAGATGCCAAGAGTGGAGCAGTGGGCTCCGGTCTCCTTAGGCAAAGCAGCAGAGCCAGAGAAGGCTGGTGGATTGAAAACTCAAGCAGGGGCAAGCAAAGGCTCTCCGTCTCTCTTGGGTAAAATCATCTCTGCTTTCTTGCCTGATTCTTCTCACTCCCATAGTAGACTATGATTGGTGTGGGAGAGTGGGTTTTCAGATTTTAGATATGAAACCTTGGGGGTCCCAGGGCTCAGAGTGTGGCTTAAGAGGATGGAGGGGAAGGCAGATGGTGTGTGGCAGCGCTTGGACAAGCAGCAAAGCACTGGGGAGAGGTGGGAGACAGGGCTTCCAGGCTGCTGAACCGCAGGGACCCCGGGGAATGGTGCTGTGCTAAGGGGCTGTATGGGTTGTCCCGTGAGCACCGGTGGTGCAGGGTGGTGGGGGGACAGGGGTGGAGTAGTACATCCAGAGCCTGAATCCTTGATGGCCACGGGCTGTGGGCAGGGATTCACAGATGTGGGTTATATGGGAGGGAGGTGATGGAAGGGGATTGGAGGACCACAGCGGAGGGGGTTAGGGTTGTGTGCGGGGTGGAGAGTGAGATGAGCCTTCAGGGAGGAGCAATGGGGAGAAGGATCTCGGCTTGCACCTGCTCCGGGCAGTGTGCATGCATATGACAGGGTGAGCGTCTTCCCCCCGAGAAGCCAGGAGGCAGTCTGGGGGCAGGCGATGCCATGGGGTAGGTCTTCCTGTGGTTCCTCTTCCTGTCCCCCCACTCGAGGCACCTCTGGAAAGGAAAGCAAAGAAGGTGCCTGGTCCCTCTCTGCACCTCTTAATGCATACTCCACCTCCTCCTCCTTCACCCCCACTGCTGGGCCCCGGTAGCCTCAGAGAGCTGTGTAGGAGCCTCCCTGGGTTCCCGGGTGACTGCAAGGTGTCTGCAGGGAGGGCTGAGTGACGGGCGTCCGAATGCTGCGCTCTTCGGCTGGATAGACTACTATGTGAACTTGAGGGACCTGGTGCTGACAGGTGTCAGGGAAGTGGCTCAGCCACACCAGAATGATGTTTGCCTTGGGGTGTCAGGCCATCGCAAGGCAGGGATGTCCACTTGCTCCTCGACTAGGACAGGATAGACACGTGTCTTCCTGGCAGCCTCAGCTGTCAAGCTGGGCACAGTGAGGATGCCGCCGCCTCCATCTCCCTGCTGTGCTGCTGGGCCTAAGGCTCGAGGGGTGCAGTCAGTGGGGTGCCTAAGGGGCAGTGTGCGGTGCAGCTCTGTGAACCAGGAGGGGCCATAGGGGAAGAGCCCTGGGAACGGAGGGGCCAAGGAGGGAGGAAAGCAACAGGGTGAGGTGGCAGAAGGTGGGAGGGTGTGAGAACTGCACTCTTCAGCGCCTAAAGGTTGACATCAGGGCTGCCATCTTGGGTTTTCCTGTTCACTGGGCACAGACAGCAGTGGAGGTTAGGCAGGAATCAGGGGGAGACTTTATCTTGGCCAGAGGATCCTAGGAGTTATGAGTTTACAAGGCAATAGGAGGAGGGATGGAGGAACATTCTAGAAATGCCATCCTTAAACTCTTATTCAAGGAGCAGAAACTTCCCATTTGTCTGAGGGTGGCTGAAGGCCACTTGACTTCATAGCAAGGGCTGAGATTCAAAGAGGGTAATAATCGTAATAGAACGGCAGCAGAACACACGCTGGGTGTTCACAGCTCTCGGGCTCTGGGGACATTCACTGGCTGAATCCTCACAGCAGCTCTAGGAGGTTTTACCCACAAGGAAATGGAGGCCTGAGGAGGTTGTGGAGGTTGCTTGGGTTCCATGACTGTGGTGGCTTTCCCACGGAAGGGAGGGGCTGCTGGAGTTCCAGTGGGAGGGCTTGTCTTGGGGGATGGGGTTCTCTCTGGACGGAGCAGAGGCTGAGCCCTGACCCCGCTAGGAAACTTCACTCCCTCTGGACTGTGGCCCGAGGAGAATTCCGAGCTGGCCTCGCCCCCTGCCTACCTTCCTGAGCCCTGGGAGGAAGCCGACGCAGGCTAACTGAATGCATAACTTTATTAAATAAATGCTTTGTCATGGCAAAAGTCAAAGATCAAGGAGTAACATAAATTATAAGTTGAATAAATAGTATACAGAAGTCTTCTTCACCTTTTAAGAAAACGTGAGATCATTTGTTGGTTTGGTTTTTATTTCCTTAAGTACAAAATGCTAAACAGAGCAGAGCTCTTCCGCATTCAGGTGTTTTTTTTTTTATGCCCGCTTTTTTTTTTTTCTCACAAACTGGTTTTGTTTGTTGATTTATTTTTCCATCCATTTCACCAATAAAGATTATCATCATTTATTTTTGTTTTTAAAGTTGAAAACAAAAAAGAGAACAGAGCTATGGTACGTATGTTGTATGTAAAACTATAAAGAACTACAGTTAATATGTGCTGTGATTATTGCTGTCTTCCAAAAAAAAAAAAATAAGAAAAGAAAAAAGCAACATGAACAACCGGTAGGCGACTCGGAATCTGAAGGAATCTTGTCTGACAACGGTGCTATCCATGTGGGCTACTGTGTGATGGTGGCGGTGGACGAGAGACTCCGGCTGGGACCGGAGGAGTGGGTGAACGGGCACAGGGAGGCTGGGGTCCCCTTCTCCTCGGACCCTCCCCGCCTTTTCTTTCCCCATCCAAAAGGATTTCCGGAGAGGAGGCCAGAGTCTGTGAAATGGCTAAACTGTATACTCCATTAGAAAACCAGGAAAGTATGTTTTAAAAAAGAAACAAAAGCCCAAGAGAAAAAAAAAGTGGAGAAACAGTGCAACGTAACTCTCGCACTTTAGTGGTTTTAAAAACACAGACAGTACAAGGCCCGGGTTGCTGGTTGGTGAAACCCCTGTTCCTCGTCCTCCTCCACTCTGCAGAACCGAGCCTCCTCTCTCCCGGAAGCCAGACGCGTCCTCTCTGACGCTACGGGGCTTCTTCTCCTTAGAGAGCTCTTCTCTGAGGTTCCCACCCTGGACCGAAGCCCTCTCGGGTGAGTGGATGGGTCCGGGGTACTGTCCTGCTTTGAGGGGGGCCTGGCGGTTGCCGTGGCAGCCCTGTCTTGCTAACAGCTGGCTGGGGGGGAGGCCCACCCTCTAGAGGAGGCCAGCCCTGTGGGGGCGCCGTGGAGGCCACAGAGGTGGCGGTGGGGAGATAGGGTGAGAGAGAAGGGTGTCATCGATTTTGGGCGCTTTGCTGATGGTGTCGGTGAGCGCATTTCCCGCCTGAGCGCAACTAGCGGCGGGTCGTGGGCACCTCCAGATAAGAAAACAAGCTCAGAGAGATGTGGAGAAGGGTGTCATCAGAAAAGGACCTCCCGGGGCCTCCTGCACCTGCCTTCCTCCCCCTGCGGGGTCGGTATCCCCAGGCCTGTCTGTCTAGGCCTGGCTGTCAGAGAAATGCTCCAGTCTCTTCCTCCCCAGGGGCCCTGCCCTGCCGGGTGGGTCAGAGCAGGCCGAGGAAGGAGCGTCAGTCCTGGCTGGGCTTCCTTATCTCCTGGCAGTAGTGGGAAAGACAGAGGCGTCTTCTCCACTGCCAGAGTCAGGAACGAGTCTAAAGGGGATGGGAAGAGACCTTCTGTGGGTGTGGGTGTGCGAGTGGGCAGCACTTAGACCCGGAGCCATTGATATCCTGGAGTCCAAGGTCTCTGGGTGAGCAGACAGTTGGCCAAAGGCCAGTCTGGAGTCAAGCAGCCCCCTGCTTAGATTGCCACGCTCACACCTTTCCAAACCTGCCTCCCTCGCTCACACCCTGCCGTGGGGTAAGAGGTGCCATCTTCCTTCAACGCCTCCCTTCCCAGGGTTTCCCCACCCTGGGCCCAGCCAGACCTCCTGGGAGGCTCAGTTCCATGTGTCCATGAAGGCCCAGCTTCTCCAGGGAGTGACCAACTGTCCAGGAGCACCCCCTGAACCCAGAAGAGACTCACAGGTTTGGGTGAGCAGGCATGAACTTCGGAGACTGGAACAGTCTGGTGAACTCACACCAGGCCTTAATCCCCAACCTCAAGGCTGGCAGCAGAAAGCCAATGCGAGGGGCAGACGCCCACTCAGAGTCCAGACACAGTGGGTGAAGAGAGAGCTCCTCTCTGGAGTCAGGTCCAGGCTGGGAGGAATGTCGGGGGAGCTTGTAGTTCCTGGCTCAGTCTTTTCTTAGGGGAGTGGCACCCCAGTATCCGCTTGGCAGATCTTAGTTGGATGACTGCTCAAGATGCAAAGGAAGAATGGGTGGGAAGAGGGGTGGCGAGGAAGAGATTTGGGATACTGGCCTAAGACATACGGAAACGTGAGTTGGGTTTAGGGGACAGTAGTGCAGAGAGATGGGGTGTGCTGACTCGGCAGGTCAGGTCCCGTGCTGCTGGCCCTGCTGGGTCCCTTTGTCTCAGGAAGACTGAGCACTTCTCCTGTCCCCAGCCAACTGTCCTATCCAGAGGCGTCGGACACAGCCCCCAAGTTCTATAGCTGTAGGGTTTCCATCCGTTGAAGCAGATTTGCTTTTTTGCTATTCCTCTTCCTAGCCCTATGTTGGAGGCAGCCTCCACTGTGTCATGCCATTAGCAAAGAGTGAAGAGAGCTGTGTCCACGGCACGAAGGGGTCTCCTGGCCAGTGTCCAAGCCCCGCTTCCTGGATATCTTCAGCCTTAGAGGACAGTCACAAGGCCACCATTGGTTGAGGAAGTCATTGGAGAATGGGATTTTTCTTGGTTCAGAATCTGGCTGCCAAGTGACAGCATCCCTGAATCCTGTGTTCCCTGCTTGTCTCAGCCTCCCTTCCATCCTCCACCCCAGGGAGGAGGCAGGGACTGGCCAGAATGGAGGACGAGCGGGAGAGACTCGTGGGCCTCCATCCCTCATCGCAGGCTGAAGGTGGGCACATAGGCTTGCCTCTTCCAAAGCATGGCCAGTTTCTGCTGATTCTTGTTCCTATCCGGCTTCTAAAGTCTGGCACCCTCCTAAAGTTACCCACCTTCCCTGGCTCTGTGGCCTGGATTAAGCTCATTTCTATTTTACAACCCATTCTCTCATTTTCCTCTCTTTCCTCTCAAATCCCAGAAGGCATACAGGGTGGGGAAGCTAAGGCTTTTCCCCCTTTCTGCTGCTTTGTGCCAAAGCTAGAATGGGACAGTCAGCCCCTGTCCCTGCAGCCCTCTCTTCCTCCCCACATCTACTCTGGCCTGAACCGTCAATCTTACTGTTGTGCATCTAAACCGTTTTACCTCTCCCTCTGCCATCTCTTCAGTCTCTCTCCTGCTCTGCTAGTGTGGAGAAGAGAGGCTTCCAAAAACGCAGGTTCTGTTCAGATGAAAGGAGAAGGCTGGGGTGGGATTGGGGGATCCGTCATGGACTGTTGGGCTCATGCAGTGGGTGTCCAGAGACTGTGACTTCCTGAGGGTTTAAAGACTGAAATGGGACTGAGGCGCGTGCCATGTGCACCACTGAGGACTGGCCTGTGCCTGGCTCGGTGGGTGCAGATGAACATGCGTGGGGAATCACTGTCAGGTCCAGCACTGTGCCCCACAAGACAGCTGAGTTTATTGCTTACGGGAAACTCTGCCTCGAGGCAGGCAAAAATGCTATTACGGGTTGTATGAGGAGAATATGGGTTTTCTCAGTTTTTCCAGAATGAGGGAGCTCCTCAATGCCCCTATAGGAACTACTTTAAAAAGTTAATGCAAACCTTTGAAAGAAAGGAAGAAAGAAAAAAATAAAGAGAAGCGAAAGGTTTATATGCCTATATATGACTCTACGGAGCCTTGTAGATAAATACAAGCCCACTTTTTTTTTCCAACCTATCCTCCCCCACAGAGACTGCTGTGCTGCTTGCAAATTGAATCAAATGAGGGCTGAAACCTCACGCTTCTGCGTGTACTGTCGTCACCCTGGAAGAACAAGTCTTTCCAATATTGGGGCGTGTATTGGTTTCTAAAAAAAAGTTTGCCTGGGGAGTGAAATACACACATGTATTTAATATTCATAGATCTGCTTCCGAAAACCTATCTAGCTAATATCACTCAATGATGGAGTTACTTTGCTTTCAGAGGACTGGAATGCATTTTAGTTTTTATAAATTTGGGGAGCGACAACACTCCTCCCGGGTAAGAGGAGAGGAAGTTCAGGGTCCAGCTGTCCATACTGCTGGCTGGAGGGGGAGACAGATCCGGGAGAGGCCCTGGCACGTTCTATCATTTCCTTTCTCCCCCTGACCAGTCCATACTGGGAAACCCCGAGAATGTCACTGAAGGCCAGAGCTGGACGTGAAGGTTGGGCCCTCCCTGGTCTCGGTGCCTTTCCTTCCTGCCTACCTGCTTGTCTTCCTTGTCCTAACACTATTTGTCTTTCTCTTTCTTCAACACAAACGCTTCCTGCCCTTCTCTTCCTCTCATTCTTCCTCTCTTCCCTTCTCTTGTTCATTCAACTTGCCTCAAAAAGAAAATCATTTTAGAAAGGGGGGTGTCTTTTTAGCTTTTTGCATCTCTGTTGTTGCCATTTTCAAAGTTGAGCCCTTGCTAGAGATTCCGAGGTCCTCAGTTTCCTCAAATAGATAGATATATACTTTTCCCTTAAATGAGATGAAATGAGTGGTGTCCTGGGGTGGAGGGAGGCGCTGGCTGGAGTCAGGGCTGGGGGTGGGAGGGGTGAGGGGAGGGCGGGGGGGACGCATCACTCAACGTTGCTGCTGTCGAAGGCGTGACACTGAAAGCCCCCGTCCACGTACTCCATGCCTGGCAGCTTCATCCCGTACTTGTCCACACACCAGCAGATGCCACGCTTGCGGCCACGGGAAGGCTTGCACTGGGGTGAGCAGAACAACAGGCGGTGAGGATGGCCACACCCCGGGCTTTGTTCCTCCCTGCCCTGCCTCTTCTCCAACCCAAGACAAGACTCTCATCCCCAGAGAGTTGGGGGTGCTAGACCCGACCCTTGGGTTTCTGGGATGTCCCCGTTTCCTGGAAAGACCCAGGGAAAAATGTGAATGTAGGTTTCAGATATGGGATCTTGTTATGCTGCCCAGGTTAGGTCTAGAGCTCCTGGGCTCAAGTGATCTTCCCGCCTCAGCCTCTGGAGTAGCTGGGATTACAGGTGTGAGCCACGGTGCCTGGCTTACAGTCCCTTTTTAAATGCTATCCATGCGAGTTCTTCCAACCTGAAACTCTGCAGGGATTCTCAATAGAGTTATGATCCAGTAATAATGATGATTGTAATAATGATAACAGGAGGCATCATTTGTGCAGAGTTATCATGTACCAGACACAATGCGACATTTCGCTTGCAAGGGATACTGTTCTAAGTGCTTTACAAAGATCAGTCACTTACTCCTCATCCTCCATTTTACATGAGGGTCTGGAGGCACAGAGATGTTACATGACCAGTAAGGAGACACAGCTAGTAAGTGGCAGAGCCAAGATTTGCCCCAATGTGTCCTGGCTCTTACATTTAGATTATTGGTGCCCTTAAGGCAGCACCAGGGTCACCTGTCCACCCCAGAGGCCACCCAGGCCTACCCTTCAGAAACTGCAGGGGTGGGGCCCAGCCATCAGCCATGCCCTCCAGGGAGCAGATGCCCTTGGAAATTTGAGAACATTGTCCAAAGGGGAGCCTGGTTGTGAAGGGACATGAATTGACTTCAGGTGGTACACAGAGAAAATATGGTTTCAAGTCCTGAGTGCAGGGCACCAATGCTAGGTGCTGTGAGAGGTGTTACAGTTTCCTCTTGCAATGAATTCATGTAGCTAAGGTGATCTGTGGAAAGCATAGTGGATTACAGCATAGGAGGGAATGAGGGAATGGTGGTGTATGAATGGGTATCTGAGGCCAAGGAGACGTGAAGTGTTTAACAGTGGAAATCTCAGGCACTTGCTCAAGATGGAGTTTTCCTGGCAGGTGCCACTTTCAGAGCCGTCTGAGCCTGGGAGCTCAGGGCGGGGGACGTACCTGCTTTCTCTTGTAGAATCCTTTGCGGTCACAATTGGGCAGGTACACGGCGCGGGGCACCATGCGTGGGGTGGCTTTAAGTTCCTGCAGGGCAGCCTCCATGTGTCTGCGGCAGGGGCCCTGTGTGGACAGCGGGGTGAGAGGCATGGCGAGACCAAGGGGGAAACACCCAGCTGCATTCATGAGTGGCCCGGGGGGTGGAGGGGCAAAGGGTCTCTGGAGGAAAATCACCACCCTTGGTCCTAGTCATCTGCTACCCAGGATCTTTCCTCCCTGTCACCTGTCACATGTTCTGGGGTCACACAAAGCCTGCCTTTGGCCAGGTACGGAGCCAGACTTTCTCTTTTGTGTTCCAGGCCACCCCCATCCCAGCAGCTGTTCTCTCTGCTGAGTAACGATGTCCAGAGGTGCCCGTCTCTAGATGCTCTAGGAGAATATTCAGCCTCTGCCTTGGACTGGACACAGCTGCAGGGCCCAGGCGCCTGAGGTGTGGCTGCTGGGCTGGCACACACTCTCCTCAAATGAGCACTGCCCCTATTCCTGCTTCCTTGCAGGAGCCCTCAGCGATGACCAGTGTAAGCTCTGGAAACTCTCCTCCCAAGTCCTAAGCTGAGCCACCAAGGTTGGCTGTGTAGGTCCTCTGCCACATCTAGCCTAGCACCTCCTGCTGCCACGAAGGTCCAATTTAGATGCAGGAAAAGGTCAAAAGCCGGGGAGGGAATGAGGGAATCCCCAAGAAGCACCTGCTCAGATTCCTGTCTCATCTCAGGGGCAGCGGCGACCCGGGAGTGGGCAGTGTTCTCAGCTCCCCCCACCAACTTGGACTGGGTCAGCTTCTTTCTGCGGTCCTTCTTCACCGCTTCGGCCTTCAGCTCAGAGATGCGGGTTTGCTTGGGCCGGAAGATCTTGGGGGAGTAGGTCTCCTCAGCCAGCTCGGTGGTGGTGGTGGGCTCCTCATGCTCACGGGAGTCTCTCTCTGCAGGGGAAGGAGCCAGAGGGTCAACTTCTGTGGGCCAAGGTGCACACGGCACCCTGTGGGGTGAGGGGCGTAATAAAGGCTGAAACAGATGTGTCTCTGCCCTCCCGGAGGATACCCTGAAAGCAGGGGATAAGAACCAGGAAGCAGAGGGAATGTTATTTAAGTGGCGGGAAGTTTCTGGCATGCCCGGAGTTGAACAGAGAGTGCAGGCAGGAAGACCTCACAGAGAAGGAGAATTGAGGGATGATGGATGGGTGGGTGAGGACGGAGCCGGCTTTCTGTGAGCAGAGAGGCAGAAGGGCAAGGGAGGTGGTCCCGGCAAGGATGAAGGTGGTCGTGAGTGGTGTGCTTGCTGGGGGATGGCCAAAGATGGGACGTGGCTGGAGGTGGGGATGAGAAGTCGAAACCCGGGGATCTGAGCCCATGGGGGAAGATGACACAGCCAGGGCGTGGATGAGAAGGGCCAAGTCTGTCCTGTTAGTGAGACCTTTGTGCTTTCAGAGTTGCTGGACGTTGAGGTCTCTTTGGACCTGGGGAACCTGGGAGGAGGGGGTCCTGGGGTCTGGAGCAGCAGGGTGGTGGGCACCTTCATAAAGAGCAGGAGGAGGGAAGAGGAGAGCCAGAAGTGTGGGCCTGGAGGGGACCGGCGTGGGGCCAAGTGGAAGTCGGAGGCTTGCTCCCGCTCTGGCTTAGAGCCCGCGCTGTGCTTGGGGGCCTGGGAGGCTGGCACGTTACACGTTACTGAGCTCCGGCCTGAGAGAGGCTGACAGCTGGCTGGGACCGGGGAAGTTATATATAGGAGTGGCTTGGCGACGGTCTATACTTAGCTGGCTTTTGACCTTTAGAGAAGTAAGACTTTGTTCATGTATTTGTTGATCCTGAATTCCACCTGTCTGGCCTTTTCCTGGTGCACAGATTTCCTCTAAATTCTTATCTCATAGGCGTCCCTCCCTGGGTCCCATTTCTCCTCTCAGCTCCTTGACCTCCCCCAGCCTCAGAGGAAACAGAGGGGGGGAACGTTAGATTGTTGTTTCCAGGTGGGCCAGGTGTGGCCGGGATGCCCCACGGTGGGACCAGGTGCAGGGGTGAGTGGAGGTGGGGAGCCCTGTCTTCATTACCTCCCACTTTTCTCAAATACTGGAAAGAGAAAATGGAGCTTTGAGTGACCTTAAAGAACCAACATGAGGGGAAAGAAAATTCTGCTCTCCACCCACTCCATGATCACTGAGACGCCCAGAAAAGTGACAGCCAGACTCTGGGATGCGGAACAGAGAAGGGGCAGAATTCAAGGAAGTGGGGATGGGGCACAAGGAAAGAGGAGCCTTTGGAGAAGACACTGTTTTAGGCCTCTGGGTGGGCGTAAACCCCACTCCTGAGTTTGCAGCTCTGGGCAAGTTCCGGGTGTGAGTCAGGAAAGGCATTTGGACACCTGGGCTGACCTGGTCAGGATGGCAGGTGGCGGGGTGCACCCCAGCCTCTGTTCCTCTCTCGGCTCAGGATTTGTCAAGTCTCATGAAAGGGGCATCTCGTCTTTGAGGCCTTGGCAGAGAAGATTCCTGCCCCAAAGAAGCCTCCAAGGGTTTGCAGCGCTCCTGGTGGTGAGTTGTTTGGGTATTTGTTCACAGGGAAGGAAGGGAGGTCATGACTGGAGAGGAAGATGATGACGAGGAGAAAGCCAATAGCAAGATGGTGGGCGGGCTCTCCCCAAACCAGATTCAACCCAAGGATCCTGGTAACCCTTCTGGCCCTTCACCCCCTCTTCCCAGTCATGTGTTGATGTCCCAGTACTCTGATTCTGCTCCATCAAGTCCTCATCAATAGGGTGACATCCCTGGTAGGTGGAATGGGATTAGTTAAGAGTCGACTTTTCCTGGTTGTAGGGCAAGTGAGATTGGCAGGAGGGAGAAGCATGGCTGGCCTGGGGACTATGCGCAAATGGAAAGGCTGGCACCAGCAGGCCCCACGCCGAGTCTCAGATCTCGGAGAGGAGGGAGTCAGGAAAGGGAGTGCTAACCACTGCACAGGAGGGCTTTGGGGTTCGTCTTGCCGAAGGACTGGAGCCGCACCACTCAACCTCACATCACAAAGCCTTCAAATCCTCAAGAAGTAGTTGATTACCTCTGGAGGAGGGGCAGGCAGGAAAGGGCTGCTGCTGAAAGCCTGGAGGGGATTCAGACTGGGAGAGGCCTGGACCCCTTCCCCAGTCAAGATCGTAACTGGATAAAGTGAGGGGAGGTGGGGGAGTGGGTTGGCTGCTGACCAGCGTGCCCGTCTCTGCATCTCCTTCAGTGGGCTGCCCCAGCCTGGCCTGGAGAGCCAGCACACTGTCACCTCTTCAAGGTGAGAGGCTGGGAAGCTGGCTTCTCTCCTGGAGCTAGTGTATCAGCTCCTGGAATCCTTTCCTTAGGCGATTTAGTCCATCCCCCTGTGTCCAAGCAGACCTAAGTATCTATCTCTATCTCAGTGGTGCTCTCTCTAGCTCAACGACATTTGAAAAGGGGATGCCATTCCATCCTCCTCCGCCTACCTGTTGGGGGAGGCTCTGTCCCTTTGGTCAGAGGCTGCCTTTCTCCAGCTGGCATTTGCCTACTCTCTCTCTTTGGTCTTGGTGGACACAAGCGTGGTGGTCCACAGGCTTCCCTCGACAGCTCTTAAGACGCTTCATCTTTTGGAACTTTCTTTTTTTTGAGATGAAGTCTTGCTCTTGTCCCCCAGGCTAGAGTGCAATGGCACGATCTCAGCTCACTCACAACCTTGACTTCCCGGGTTCAAGCCATCCTCCTGCCTCAGCCTCCTGAGGAGCTGGGTTAGAGGCACCTGCCACTCCACCCAGCTAATTTTTGTATTTTTAGTAGGGACCGCGTTTCACTGTGTTGGCCAGGCTGGTCTCGAACTCCTAACCTCAGGTGATCCGCCCGCCTCGGCCTCCCAAAGTGCTGGGCTTACAGGCGTGAGCCACTGCATTCCGGCAGGACTTTTTCTAAGAAGTGCCGTGGGCTGTCCTTTACCGCGAGCCACCCTTTCCAGGAGGAGGATGGGGCTGTTGACAATGGTTGGACAAACCTTAAGAGTAAATTTATTTTGACTTCTTTTAGTCTTCTTTGAAAGTGTTCAAGTACTGCCTCGGGGCCAATCAACCATGATAGGAAAACAGAAAATGTAGATTCTGAGATCTCTCTTCATTTAAGGAACTCAAAATATTTCTGCAAACTCTCTCCTTTCCCCAGCCTCCTCAAGGCGAGGCTTCCTGAGGGCACACCTTCCCAAGCCTGCAAGCTTTCTGGCTTCTTCTGAAGAGCAGGCTTAACGTTTTGATCTGCCTCCCAGTTTCTGGTGCCACTTAACCCCCCCATGGGACCTATTCCTTCGGCAGCAGCAGAGTCCAGTGTCAGAGATACCAATCAGGGTCTTGTGGTCACCTGTGGGCTCCAGCAAGACAGTGGAAATTTGGAGGGGAGCCAGGGCAGAACCACAGAGATTAAAGGGCTGGAAAGTGAGACTGGGGCTGAGTGCCAGAAGCAGCTAGCCCCACTCAGCTGCTCTGTGGCCGAGTCATAAATAGGCTTTCAATTTTGGAAGGGTTTAAGTTAGATAAAACAAGGAACAAGTAGACTGGCTACTCTTGAGCTATTTCATCGAGAGAAATGAACTGAGGTTGCAGAAGGGATTTAGGGAGGACACCGGGAGGACTTCCTGGTGAAGACCGTTCTGCACGCCAGCAGCAGACGGGCTCAACAGTCAGCTCCTGGAACGTGTTTGACAAACAGGTCAATATCTCCATGTGGCCAGCAGAGGGCGCGGGAGACTGATGCCCACACAGCATGGGCTCACTTCTAGGGACTGGAAGAGTTTTCAAAATTTGGAATTTGGCGTGGTGGCTCATATCTCTACTCCCAGCACTTTGGGAGGCTAAGGTGAGAGGATTGCCTGAGCCCAGGAGTTCGAGACCAGCCTGGGCAACATGGTGAAACCCTATCTCTACAAAACATACAAAAATTAGCTGGGCGTAGAGGTGTGCGTCTGTAGTCCTAGCAACTCAGCAGGAGGCTGAGACGGGAGGATTGCTTGAGCCTGGGAGGTTAGAGGTGGAGGCTGAGGTGAACTGTGATTGCTCCACTTTCATAGCTCCACTGCACTCTAGCCTGGGTGACAGAGCAAAACCCAGTCTCAAAGAAAAAAAAATCTGGAATTTGGGTGCCTTCCTCTCCTACTTCTGTAATAATCACTCAAATTTCTTCCTTCTGTGTGTCTGCAGCATGTATTTAAAGGGCCAGGGAGACAAACAAGCGAGGCCCGGAGAGAGTCCATGTGCGGGAGAGTGAAGGCAGGTGAGGGAGAGGGGGTAGGGCTTCCTGGCGCATTCTGCTGTTTCTGTACCCTGCAACTGGAAAATGATCCAGGGAGACATATTCCAGCCCTCCCTGCCCATTAAATGGCATTCTAAGAGGGTTCTGCAGAGGATGGGAAAGGAGGAATGCTCAGCATCCATTTCTCCGGCTGGGATCTATGCAGGCAGGACCTTTACCGTCATAATCTTATTCAATGACTAAGGAAGGGGAGGATTATCATATTATCTGGGTACAACATTTACTTTTGGGGTGGGATCTAAGTCTGCTCTGGCTCCTATATACTAGCTCCAGTCCTTCCCACTGGCTCTCTAAGGCCTCTAGCCCCTGCCACATTTGGGTGGCCACCTCAGTTCCTCTTTCATTCATAAGGTGTTCCCCATTCACCCCAGTGCAGAAGCATCCACAGGGGCACACACGGTACATCTGTCCCTCCCCACGGTAACGTGAATACGTGCTTCAGGACCGCACCATTCTCTATGTCCTGGCAAACAGAGTGTCATGGGTTGAGCCCAGCTGCTACAGACCCAGAGCTATCTTAGGGTGAGAAATACTATACGCTGCACAATTGCACAATGCATGCGCCCTGTCCAAGCTCAACCACTTTCTCCAAACCTGCCCTTTTGCCACTGCTGTTCTCCTCCAGCAGAG